TTACAGCCCAAAGATGTTATTTTCAAGAAATGGTTTTTGTAGGAATTTTGTTTGATTGGATGAATGGTTTTATCATGAGCTGACATCAGTTAGGGAATCATTGGAAAACCAGCCACAGGGAGTACTGGATAGCCAGCTGTTTCGTCAGCCTAGTTTGGGACCCTTCAGCATTACCTACCCACAGCGTTCGAACCCAGGACCTTCTGGTTACAAAGCTAGCGAGCTCGTAGACCATTAGGCCACTGGGAACCAACCCAATGGCCCAGGAATTCCAACACCTGCTAATTCATGACATAGCGCGACCACTTCGCAATGTCTTCTTCGATGAGTTATTGCCTCACCTTCAACCTGTTGCACGTGGGTTCGAGTCCCGGCGAGTGCGTACCACTGAAGGGTCCCAAAATACGACGAAACAGATGGCTGTCTAGTACTTTCAGCTGGTTTACCAATAGTTCTCTAACTGATGTCAGCTCATGATGAAATCTTCCAATCAATTGAAGATATTATTATTAAGTTTATGTACAGAAACAATATTAACAGTTCAAGTTTAAACAAAAAACCAATGTATGCATAAAATGGTAGGGGAGTTACGTAGTATAGATAAGAGGTTATAGAGTCGAAGGTTAAGTAATCAAACATACGTGAGAATCAACACACCGAGTAACCACGGCAAGGAAAGACTAATAACTGCTCTTATTTGAACAAATAAACCGGGTTTCAAGCGTCTGATAGCGATTGCTTCGGGAAACTTGGGGAGAATTAAACCATACTGTCTACTGCCAATTTAAAAGGATTTCGTGATGTCCACCTAGTACATGACCTGTATAAATAAGATGTCTAGAGATGACACTATTGTGAGAACGTTTATTCCCTTGGTAATCAACCTTTCAGGTACATGTTCGGTCGGTCGGTCAGTTTTCGACATAGAACTTTGCACATATGTGCAGCAGTTCAAGTCGCCACACTCCCTCCATGTAGCACACAAAGCAACAGAAGAAAGTAGGCGAAATGCATAATAGAGACAGTAAACAGAGGTGTGAGACAAAGGAATAGTAATAACGGAGAACAAAACAGTTTCATTGGAAATCATAAGTAACAAGGAGTGGATGCATCTGCGCTAGTCGTCGGGAACGATTTTGAGCCATATCACCAATTGTTTCCAACCATTGGTGTTTACCGCCCCGAGGACTTCAACTAGTCAGTCAGGAAATCTACACCTCCCTACGGGAATGACTGGCTTAGACTAACTGTTGTCGATTTCATTGACTCGTGCCATGTTTTCGTTTGACCGCCGCTAGCTCTCTTCCAATCTGACCCTATATCAGCTAACATTTACTGGTATCGAGGAAGGCGATGACTAGGGATACATACGTAACACATGTCCCAACCATCTCAGTCGATGTAATTTCACAGCCTCGTCGATTGATTTCCCCTCCTTACCTAGCAGTCGACTGATGCCTCATCTCAATATTGCTCACCTTATCATACCACTTCACGCGGGAGATAGAACGCAGACACCTATGATCAAAGACAGCTAGCTGGTCTTTTCATGTCTTCCAATCTCAATAGCCAGGTCTCACAGCCATAAAGGATGACGGAGCGGATTGATGAGCAGTACACACGCCCCCTGGTCGATAGTCGGATATCACGTCTACACCAGAGACGGCGTAAACTGGCATATGCGAACCTAGCCCTCTGTATTCCTGCTGAGATTTCGTCAGCGATCAACCTGTTGGGGCTGATGGTACTTCCTAAGTAAGTGAAGCGGTCAACGTACTCTACCACTTCACTTCGTATTTCTAATCTAGGGGTCGGTGTAGTCCAATCCTGTAGGATCATCTTGCATTTGGCTGGAGGGAATCGCATGCCAACACATTCGTAGATTGTAGCTTAAGGTGTTCAGTAGACTCTGTATTTCTCCAGCGTCCTCTCCTAGAAGGACTATATCGTCTGCATATTCTAGGTCGACGAGATTATTCGCTGGTAGCAAGTCAATCCTTGAGTCGCTGAAGTGAGTTAGGGTTAAGTCCATTAGTACGTCTATGATGAAGTTGAATAGGAATGGGGATAATGGGCACCCTTGACGGACGCCACTAGTCGTCACCACTTCAGATGACAACTCGCCATAAGCCCTCACCTGGCTGCATGAGTACGAATAGAGTGCCTTAATCAGTGCAATGTATTTTCTCGGCATTCCCTTAACAGCCAAGCATCGCCAGAGAACCTCTCGGTCGACAGAATCGAATGCTGCCTTTAGGTCAAGAAATATAGTGATTGTCTGACGCCGGTACATGTTCAGTGAATCGGAAGTGTATGTGACCTTCTTTCTGTTCTCCCAATGTAACTGCTACTGCAGATAATACGTGTTAATTTGTATACACAATAAGAGTTAACATGAGAAGGGTATCCGTCGACTTTTGATTGCACCAAGAAGCATGCTCTCCGATAAACAGGAACCCACTTAGCTGCAAGATAGGCTGTGGCTAGTCAGGTATTCAATCTTCTGTTGACTATTGCTGCAATATTTTCACTTTTAAAATCGAGTTGAATGAAAATAGGCTGTTTTACATCCCCTGTGTCTTTCCAACTTGTTAATGAATTTCTTAGGGTAACTATAGTTTTCTAATAACTTTTTAAGCATCAGAAATTCTCCCTCTTATATTTCTTTAGAGGATATTCTCCTGACTCTATAATAAAATAGAGTTTTGACCAATGCCCATTTATAGCTGTTTAGACAAAAATTATCAAAATGTAAGTATTGTCCAATTCATATCGACTTTCGGTAAATTGACCACCTCTGGAGACGACCATCTTCCAGGCATTACATGTCAATGCCAAGGAAATGAAACTTTCCATCATTTTCATTTTTTATGGTCAATTCAATATTTGTATATACATCACTGAATAATAATGACTCCAAGCAGATGATGAGAAATAAAGAATGATGGCACCAGCTTATTCTGCACGCACAAACTCCTATTCTTGCTTTATACAAATTCATAAGTGGGGAATAAACGTATGAAAGATCTTGACTGACAGAACATGAAAAGGATAATGCGACGTATACTTATTTATTTATTTATAGCTTGATCCCACACTGTATTTTTGGTACAACTATGGAATCTCCAGCATGTAGCAGGCCAAACCCCGGACCATATGTATGGTCGGCGAGCGTCCTGACCACTGTGACATCGACTTGGACAACCTGTCCTCCGACAGGTCATCTATATCGGTGCCGTGCTTGGTGTGGACGCTAGATCAACATGAGCACCCATATGCCAGAACTCTCGGTCCCGCGAAATTCCACACAGTGGTCTCTAAGTGGCTAGATTACAAGTGTACACAACTACGCCCAGTCAATATATTGTTAGTCACAACAAAAGTCAGGGGGGAGGAGTGGGAGTGGGTATCAACAATTGGGATTTTTACAAAATACAAACTAATAGATCATAACAACTGTTGAGTCCTGTAGATTTGATAGATGAATTGTGAAGCTGTTCATTGTCCTTCAAGCCAACCAAAGTGATTAATGCCTTCATGAACATTGGATCTATAAACACAAACTAGCAGTCAACAGACACGATATACATTCACGCATGTCAATCAATTCATGTGGACATCAGTTCAATTGAAATAATGTCAACATTTTAGACCAAGGGAATATGAAGAATACCACAGAATTCCTAAAACAATCGTACTCAGATCCAATGGATGCAGTGGATGCAGAACTCCACCAACACGGGATAAACATGGGATTCAGGAAAGGCAAATCATGTACTGATTAGATTGCAACTCTTCGTCATCATCATTATCATCATCGAAAACAAAGCATAGAATGATAGTTGAACCTCCCTCTACCTTAATTTCATCGACTTTAAAATGGGCCTTCGATAGTGAATCACTGACCGAGAAGAAGTAATTTGGAAACTTTGTCAACACCTATGGAGTGAAGTGCCTCAAATCTTTATCAACCTCACTCAATAGTTGGCTAATATAACAATGCCACGTATCAGGTGATCCACAACGGAAACCTCGGCGACACCTGACCTGCCGTTGACGTGAATACATGACTAAGACAAGACTACCTGTCTATCATTACTGATGATATTCCTAGTTGTAGTGAATTGGATTAGGCGTCAGACAATGGGGAGTGACAAGACAAGCGATGACGAAAATATTCAAACAACTAACAACAACAAGCACCAATCACCAATAACGACATAAAAATTTGAAAGAGGTTACTTCCTTCACTTATCTAGCTAGTAAGCATAATTTCAACTACAGGCACACAGCACGGATGAAGATGTCAAAATCAGAATCAACCAGGCAAGGCAAACCATAATCACTCTCAAATCAGTTTGGAAACCTTCTGAACTCCGCTGCATAAAGAACAGGATTCGGATTTTCAACTAACCGGGTGCTTATGTATAGTTCAGAGACTTGGCGGGTCGTCAGAATCATATCCAACAGCCAACTGCGGACTTTTCTCAACAGCTGTCCATTTCGATGACTCCATCATACTAAAGATCAAATGGCTGGCTAGCCAGAAAGAATTAGCAACAAGAAACTCTGGGAACAAATCAACCGAGAACCTACTTATTGCTCAACAAACATTTCGGTAAAAATGAAGATGGATTGGGCACACGCTGAAACGACAGTCGAGTAACGTCGCACACTATGGTTTCACTCGAGTTGAGTGCAAATACGGAACGACGCGTTGGATTTCGGTCCGAAGGTGACATGGAGGAGATCGTGTGAACAGGTAATGAGAGACTATGGGCAGTCGCAGGCGCAGCTAAAGAGGACCTGCAGGGAATCGGACGAAGTTAAAAAGGTGTTGTTGAAGCTCGATGTTCCACTCAGAAACTACGCGGAGAATAATAATCACAATAATATGAAGACGGAACATTACTGAAAAGAAGGAAAACACTGATGGTAATAATAATAACAATAACATACAAAGGTAAAAGAAGAAAGAAAAAAATGTGTCATTTACTCACCTTTGGTAATACTTTTGAATCTAGTGTCACTTGACCAAATGCCGTAGGTGGCTTAAAATTATTTGTATCCAAATCAAGGTAGGCAATACCACCATTTGGAGGTAGACGAAAAAAATCAAAAAATCTTGAATTCATTCCAATTAAATATGGTGATGGTGATTGGATGACATGAATACAACCCATATATATGTAGGGAATATATACAACAGTCCATTTTAATGGGAATATCATCTATTATAAGGAGAAATAAGAGCAAAAATCAAGTAATTTTAAAATCGGTTAAACATGATTATAATTATAATAATCATTATTATTATAACAGTGAAAACAAACTGTTCCCCGTGCTGTTTTCCTCCTCTACATTTCACTCCTTCCATCTTAAAGGGACAACACGGGACTTCAAGATTTTAAAATGCCCGTAGTATTGATGTTGTTTTGTCCTATGGGATAGGGAGTTGTCGCTAGTCTAACGCATGGACTTACTGAATTACAGTAAACTCGGTGAGATTTTAGAGTGAGTCGGAGAGAAAATCTAGACCGGATCTCCTGCATGGCTGACGAGAAGTGAGTGAACCACCAACACTGCATCTTGCATTGTAGGTGAATTTCGGAATTAGATCGAGGGCAAGTTTCAAACCAGTAGCATTTTCCGAATAATCAATCAGTCATAGGCTCTACCCACGTTCCAAGTGGGACACACGAACTTTAAGCTCGAGCTTTGAAGTCTCAGTAGCGATTACTACCGGCTAAGAAGATTTTCTTGCCAGCTTCCCACCTATCTCTACACTGCCCGTCCAGCTAGTTTCCCTCTCCTGTAAATTTCAGTTTCAAGGAGGTGAACAAACTGTTGGTTGATTGTGACGATAAATCTGAATTCGACTTGAGCTGATAGACTCTATTTACTGACATGTAGCGCGTTGTCACTGAAATTGATCTACTGAATACTCTTCTTTTAACTACATCCCTTAGGTATTGTGGCCAACATGCTAGATGGTTCGCCATCTAACACAGCACTCTGTGAATCGTTTTTTTTTAGATGACTGGAGGCGATCGACAGGAAGTCTTGGACTAAGGTTTTGTGCTTATTGGCCTTCATCACCAGTCAGCATAGTGACCATATGTTAAAAACTTGACTGGTAGAATTCACCCTGCACCAACACAACACTAACGTCGGTCGGTCGGTTTTTGACATAGAACTTTGCACATATGTGCAGCAGTCCAAGTCACCACACTCCCTTTTTGTAGCACACAAAGCAAGAGAAGAAAGTAGGAGAAATGCATAACACAGACAAAAAACAGAGGTGTGAGACAAAGTAATAGTTATAACGAAGAACAAAACAGTTTCATTGGAAATCATAAATCACAAGGAGTGGATGCATCTGCGCTAGTCGTCGGGAACGATGAGTTTGAGCCATGTCACCAATTGTTTCCAACCATTGGTTTTTACCGTCCCGAGGAACTCAACCAGTCAGGAAGTCTACACCTTCCTACGTGGCCTAGACTAACTGTTGTAGATTTCATTGACTGAGGCCATGTTTTCGTTTGTGCACCACTAGCTCTTTTCCAACCTGACCGACCCTATATCAGCTAACATTTCCTGGTGTTGAGGAAGGCGATGACTAGGGATATATACGTAACACATGTCTTAACCATCTCAGTCGATGTAATTTCACAGCCTCGTCCATTGATTTCCCCTCTTTACCTAGCAGTCGACCGATGCCTCACCTCAGCATTGCTCACCTTATTATACCACTTCACGCGGGAGATAGAACGCAGATACCCATGATCGAAGACAGCTAATCTTTCCATGTCTTCCACTCTCAATAGCCAGGTCTCACAGCCATAAAGGAGGACGGAGCGGACTGTTGAGCAGTACACACGCCCTTTGATCGATCGCCAGCAGGATATCATGCCTACACCAGAGACGGCGTAAACTGGCATATGCGAAACTAGCCCTCTGTATCCATACTCAGCTGAGATTTCATTAGAGATCAACCCGTTGGAACTGATGGCACTTCCCAAGGACTAGACGCGTAACACCTGTAACTTACTACCTAATGTTCAATCAAAGGTATTCAATACAGTCCTACAGAAGACCAGTCACGAGATCAAATAGTTCATCAATGGTGGTAACGTCTCTGACTGGATGACATGGGTTCAAATTTCAGGCAGGATATCGTTATTTCCTCCAAGAGTGCAGATACATCTTGCTGACTGACTGACTGACTGACTGACTGACTGACTGACTGACTGACTGACTGACTGACTGACTGACTGACTGACTAGTGGTGAGTGCCACCATCACGAAACCTACATCAAGCAAGACTATCTGCCGACTACCTGCAACCATTTAATAACATCCTTGAGTCATTTTTACCGTTGAGTATGAAAGAAATGTGATAGTATCTCATTCCTAGACGCCCTTATGACTAAGAAGGAGGAAGATACAATAACCGGTTAGTATATTCAATTTTTTAGGCCTTGGAAATCATCCACAGAGCTAGTATGATCCGCTCTAATGACACCCTTAATGAAAAACTAAAGATTATTCACTAGTTACTGAGTGAGAAAAGGATATTCAGAGAATTTCTTTTTGACAAGAATATGAATTCGAAGACAAGACAAGCACTAGTGAATGTGTAACGACAGCCCCAAAGAAGACCTTCCTTTTAAGACCTTGATCGCAATTGTCAAATGGATCCTTAAAGTTCACAACAACACTGAATCACTGGTTTCAACATAGAACTTTGCATAGATATACACCAGTTCAACTAACCACTACCCCCCCCCCATCCATGCACCACACAAAACAAGAGAAGAGAGTAAATAGAGGTTCATCAAAAGAGAGACAGATAATAAATAGAATTGGCAGCCAGGGGGAAAAAGAATAAGAGTTATATGGTCGAAGAACAATAGAAGTTTATTAGATATGACAAATCATCACAAAGAGTAAGTGAATGCATCTGCGCCATCCATTTGACAACGATGATGATTTTCAGCCATATCACCACGAATAGTCTCCAGCTGTCATTGGTTCTTACCATCCTGAGGACACCAACCAGCCAACCACCAAGTCTATATCTCCCTACGTGACTGGCTGCCTCCCTAAAACTAACTATCATGGATTTCACTGACTGATGTCGCCATGTTTTGGTTTGACCACCATGTGATAGCTCTTTTCCAACCTGATCCATCCTAAGTTAGCTAATATTGCTCATTGTTTAAGAAGGCGATAGCTGGCTTGGCATGCGTAATGTACGTCTTACCCATCTCAATCGATGTAATTTCACAACTTCTGAGATTGGTTCTTCCTCCTTGACTTAGCTAGCCACTCGACGCCTAACCAATTCAATATTACTCTCCCCACCCACCACCCAAGACGGGGGATAGAACGTAGGCACATATGTCATCAAAGACAGCTAGGCGGTGTCTTCATGTCTTCCACTTTCAATGACCGTGTCTCACAGCCATAAAGAATGATGGAGAGAACTGCTGAGTAGTATACACGCCCTCTGGTCAACAACCAGATGTTAGGTCTACGCCGGAGATGGCGTAAAGAAACAAATGCCAAAGGACCCTTCTCAATCCGTGCTGAAATTTCACAGCAACAACAACAATAGCAAGTATTGATAACTGAACATCGAAGAAAATCACTACAAAACCAATGCTTGAAAGTGAATCTGATGCTTACTAGCGACTGGTCCATTCAGGCAGTGACCTGGGGTTCTAGTGGGAAGCCGTGACCAGTACGGTGCAGTAGGTTGAAGATGATGCAGTAACTCATCGAGGAAGACATTGCGAAGTGGTCGCGCAATGACATGAATTGGCAGAAGCTAGAATTCATGGGCCATTGGATGGGGTTCCAGTGGCCTAGTGGTATACGAGCTCCTTTGCCTTGTAATCACAAGGTGCCAGGTTCGGAACCTAGCGGTGGTGGGTGTGTATTGTTGAAGAGTCCCAAACCAGGCTGACGAAACAGCTGGCTGTCCAGTACTCCCTGTGGCTGGTTTTCCAATGGTCCTCTAACTGATGTCAGCTCATGATGAAACCCTTCATCCAATCAAACAAAATCCCTACAAAACCAATATGCTTGATGATAAATAATAACAAATGACCTTAGCCAAAATTGTCAATTTTTAAAACACAAAAATTTTTGTGCTATTTCAAACAAATTTGGCAAGTTTATACACGTCACACACATTGACAGAAAATTTATATTCTATATGTTGTGTATCTGTTGCGCTTGATATATTAAACTCTTTCCAAACTCTATCTCTCTCTCATAACAATGTGTAGCCTATCTATCTATCAATGTCAGATGCACGTGATACAACCAATTTATTTAAAGGAGTTTAGTTTATCATGACAAATCTCACAAATAGTTAGATTATATATACATATATATATATATATACATATGCATGCGGAAATTCTATCGCAACGTTTAACCAGGACGATCAAGAAAACTTTGTACTCTGCAAGTATGTGTCTATCCTTCAGTAGCCGTCCAATGTTCACCCAACAGATTAAAGATATGTTATCTAACCTTAGCTCTTCTTCATGCATATACCACTTCAACTGTTCCTGTGGTTAAAGTTAAATAGGGCGCACGATTAGGCAGGTTCGTCTACAGGTTCGAGAACATTTACCAACTTGGTTCAGCACGGGGTAAATTAAGTGCATTAAAAAGCTCCATTCTGTCGCACTTGGTCGACACTGGACATCACTTCGATGTCAACACAGCTTTCAGGGTTATATACTGAATTTCGAAGTCGTTATCACGTACAGTTCGCTAACGTCTCCTACACATGGCTGAAGCTGTTGTAATAAGATCGACTAAACCGGAACTTTGTATCCAAAAAGAACACGTCCAGAAGCTGTTCCTACCGTGGCCGAACTTGGATTGATGATTCTTCTTCTTCTCATCAAGAGTGCTTCTTCCCCTTAACCCCCTTGGCTTTTTTTTCCTTTGCTTATTATTACAAATATTATTATTACAATTATTACTATTAATATTATTATTATTCGTCATAATTTATGCCCTTCATGCAAACATTCTCTCAATACTACCGAATAATTCATTTTTACTATCCGGACTTATTATTAGTGATATTATCTCTTTTCTCAATATATGCCTCCGCCTGTTTCATTTCACATATTCCTTGTTTCAGTATGAACCTCTCATTGCAGTCTTTATATATATATATATATATATATATATATATATGCAT